ACCCTCCCTGGACCTGAGCGCTTTCCTGGAGGCTTCCCAGCTCCAGCTGCCAGCCCACACCAGCTGCCAGGCTCTGGAACAACCCAGACCCCAAGACCCACCGTGACGGGGTGGGCCTGGGCAAGAGCCCGAGCCTGTGCTCCTAAAGCCCCCGAGAAGGATTCGCCACGATTCGTCCATCTGTGTCCGCAGCGCAGCCCGGCTGGGAAACACTGGCCGAGAGGGGGCGCTGGTGTTCGCTGGGGTTTTCTGTTTCTTTCCTGCACCTGACAGAGACCCTGTGAGGTAGCAGCACCTTGGTTTCTGTTTAACCAGAAGGTGCCTGGGTGCTGAACGGGCCCTGCCATGAGCCCTGACATGTCCTGACCCCCAGGGCACACCCTCTGGTTTCCTGCCCAGCCTCGGTCATCCCCGTTCCTGAAACCCCAGCCCCACTCACCTGGGACGATGAGGAGGAGCAGGGCTGGGAGCAGCCACATGTCCTGCCTGCTGGGCTCTCTCCCTGGTCACCGTCCAATGCCAGTGCCCTCCGGGGACTTGAGCGGAGCCCAGGCGCACATTGCCCTCAATTTGTCTAAGACATAATATTTTGTTTCTCTCATCAACTTCCCTTAAAGTTTTGTCTTCCGTTACTTGCTCATTTCATTAGGTAGGGGACAAGCAGTGTCATCATTTATGAGTGTATGGCTGCTGTGTCTCCAATAATTTGGGGAAAGCAAAGCGTCCAGGCCTGGCCAGGGTTCCACTCTTGAGCCTGTGTGTGAGGAGCTGAGATGGTTGCAAGCAGCAGAGAGGGATTGGGGGGGCAGGTCCCTGGGAAGAGCTCAGCGCTGGGGGGGGGGGGGAGCTCAGCGCTTGCGGGGGCGTTACGAGAGTGACCAGCTAGCACTGGGTTTGCCCTTTGGGGAGGGTGCCGCACTCAGGGCCTTGGGGACATTATGAGGAAGGAGTGGTCTTTGGCTTCAGCTTCATTTTGTCCTGATGCTTTCCCCACATCCTTGCATATATCACTGGCTGTGGGCCCTCGAAGGGTGAAGGGTCCCGGGACTGCCTCAGGTCAAGGGCAGCTGGGGTTCCGCTTTGGATAAGTTTTAAGTTTCTGTGATGGGGCAGTTCCTTCTCAGGATCATTCTCAAGATCCCATGAGACAAGGAACGTGCTGCACTTGGCAGCTACCACAGGCCTCCCGGGTTCCCGGTGTGGTGGGGACGCTATGAGTGTGTCCCCTCCCGGCCATCAGTGCCCTGTGAGCTGGTGCTGGCTGTCCGAGGGGCAGCAAAGCAGAGCCCAAGAGCCAGCAC